ACTATACAAGGTGTGCTCTAAAAATAAAACCAAATGAGGTTGTAAATACATTAATAGCATAAAAATATTATATGTTCTGGAGACCTATAAGATATTAAAATAAGGGGAATAATCTGGGAAAACATATATAAAATCCAAAGCTGCAGCTTCTCACTTGAACTAATGACTATGTATGTACAAGAGAAGACTTTCCAAGTTGAAGAAAGACCTAGATTTGAAGAATAAAAGAGCTCATTAATAACAGAAAAAAATTAATGAAAAGAAACCAATACATTTTCAGGTAGCATTTTTTAACTTAATTGGTAAAGAATCCTCTATCAGACAATAAATCTAAATTGCCTGTACACCCAGCAGCTGCATTACTTTACTCAAATAAATATGACTCTCTCAAGCAAATTAATTAAAATATTAAGATCTAAGCAAAAGTAACCTTAGAAGTGCCAAAGGGGAATTAATTTCAAGATAAAGAGCAAACTGTGCTTTTATCCATGTTACCTACTTTTTTTGGTAGTGGCGGAAATGGATCACTGGGAGCTACCATTGGAGGAGACTTTGGGGTCCTGGCCCATCATTTCTCACTCTTTTAGAAAGTATAAGGAGAACCACTCTCGCATTTCAAGAAGCAGCTTCCTCCATCTCAAGCTTCCACCATGACTTTCTGACTCAGCGTAGGCCTAACAGTAACGGGCCAATCAGCCATGGGCCAACCCCTCTGAAACGATGAGCCATAATAAATCCCACCTCCTTTAAGCTATTTTCTCTCAGGTATTTGACACAGCAACAGAAAGACATCTAGTACACCTCCAAATCTGCTTTCTCACTCTCTACTTCTTTCCCTTATTTTCTAGTATTCATTTTCATACCATGAAATTCCTGGGTTTGGCTGCTACCCAAGCTGGGTTTGATGGTACTCAAATTCACATATCCCTCATTATTCAGAGGCTGCAAACTGGAGAGTTCTCCTGGCCAGGGAAGAGTCATTCTGTCTTGAAGATGCCCTGCTGTGCATGTCTGCGCTGGCCCATGTGTTATAGCTGTAGGCTGCATAGAGTTTAGTGGGGAAAAATTACAGAATTTCTAGTCCGTACTGACAGGAATAGAAAATCTGATAATCATTAAAAAACAATGACAAAACCAGATAGCTAAGTCACCATGGCAGAAATAAGAGCAGTTAGATGGATCATAAAAATAAATGTGAATGGTAAAACATCCCTATTAAAACACAAAGAACTTCAAGTGAATATGCAACTCCATGAAAACAGAGAGAGATATCTAATACAGCATGACTTGAAGCTTAAAATATACATGATGACCATAAAATAATAAGAACAAGAAAAGTGCAAACAAAAATTTAGCATCTTAAGGTGAAATGGACATGATCACATTAATAGTTGATAATTTTTCCCTAATTTTTATCAGGTTTGGCATATAAAAGTAAATAAAATGAATATCAACTCATCAGTGATCCTGTAATTTTCTTCTCTCTGCAGACCACTTATCTGCTCCGCACACCCTATAATACACAGTATTGACTGTCAGGCTGGTGAGGCTCCTCCTCCAGGCAGACAGCTTTCAAAATTTTGCAAGAGGCTGATTTAATTTGGCATGCTTCTTTGCACCCAGCTTCTGATTTGATCTTACCTTAAATTTAGAATATCTCAAAAAACTCAGTATATACTATCAATGTAGTGTATCTCATACAAATAATAGTCCACATGAATGAAAAATATGGATTTTTTTCCAATCACTCAGGGAAAATTAACACAAAAAGACTTTTAAAATGTTACATTAATGTTCTAAAATATTTTTTAAGAATGTGCATAAAATGCAAATCAAAGACAAAATTCACAAGAGTACTCATATATTCTTCATATGAAGAGAGACATTTTGACTCAGTGAAAAATGCAAATCAAAGAATAGAAAAATTAATAATTAACCCATGTAGAGGTGTCACAGAAGTATAAACCATCAATAAGACTACAAAATTTGGTATTGGCTAGGATAAAATGAATTGCATAGTCCTGTAGTCTGCCTGACTGTGAAGGTATAATTTGTGCAAACTTTCAAATAATTCTGCCAGAAAAGTACTACTCTTTGGTTGAGGAAACACCACCATCAGTTCAGCACTGTGCTTGGCACATTACAGACCTCTGACCGTTCTCCTTTGTGCCATGCTGTCCACGTGTCCCTCCCTGTGCCATGTGCTGTACCCATACGTGCAGTCACACTCGCTTCTTGGTTGCTCTATGAGACAAGTAGACTCTGGAATTTTTAAATTTTTACAGTAAAAGACACATTGCCATGAATCCCCCTCAAGATGCCCCCTCTCACTGAGGCATTCATCCCATCATTCCTGCCACTTTCTGAGGGAATTCTAAGTCATCTTTCATGAGCGTCTCTGGGGGTGCTGTCGTGGCAGCCGTGATGTGCTAGATCAATTCAGAACTACACGTTCGTGGTCATCTGAACTTTGGGACAGAGCCAGAACTTGCATGGTGCCAGAGCTGGAGATAAAGGTGGATGAAGACACACTGTCATGTTTTCATTCGACAGCAAGTGTCATAAACATTGTGAATCTACAGTGCAGTGCTGCTGAAGGACAAGTCTTTCAACACTGTTTGGCACATGAGAGCTCGACCACAGAAATGAGTAGAAGCCAGACGCAGCGAAGAAGTGGGGAGTCTGTACCTAGTTCCTCCACTAAGGGCAAGTCTGGGAAGAGGAGAGAGGGGCCGGAAGGGGATTTCGGATGAATGGATCTCTGAACTATGTGGGTGAGTTTGTTTTTAACAATCAGAGATAACAGACAGAATTTGAATGATCCTGGGGCGAAGACACAAGAACAGAGACTCTCAGGCTTTGGCGAGCCTCGGACTCAGCAGAGGACTGGCTACTCCGAAGGCCTCTGCTCCAGCAGGTGTGAAGAAGGTCACCGAATCTGCATTCATAACAAGTCCTGGGATGAAGCCGCTTAGATGGCTCTGCGGTCACATCAAAGCAGGAGACAGAGGTTGTCATTTACAGAAGGTAGGTTACGAGTGACATCCCTGAGATAGCGGGAAGGGCTATGCTCGAGAGGGTCTGTGGAGGTTTCCTGTTTGCTGGGGTAAGGGAAGCTCCGTACAATCAGGTTGGGTAAAAGAGAGAAACGCTTTTTAAAATAAGAAAATTAAAAGGATTCCAGCTACCTACTCTGTGCCGGAAATGGCTTCCAGTGCTTTAGCAAATTAATCTATTTAACTCCTCATACAAGCCTTACCAAATAGAAAGATGCAACCAGTCCATAAATTTTGAAGTAAGAAAATAACAAAACTCATGTATAATAGATCCTGGTTTCATTTCTGGTGTCTAATTTGAGACAAAATAGAAACGCATCAGAGGAGTAGGATGACCAAGGAAGCTAAGCTCTGGGTGATTTCAAAAAGTAAACAAGATACCTTGTATTCTGTTTTTACATCATGTACTATGTCCATCCTTTTGATTTGACTGACTCTGTTTTGTTTTGTCACATTTAGTTTTATTCTCTTCAAAAAAGTAATAAGAACTGGGGTAGTAATAAAACCCCAAATGTGTAATTGTTATTTTAAAAAACAGAAGAAAAGGAAGTGTTCTAAAGGATACAACTGCATGTATATTTAAGTGTATAAGATAGATAACCATATTACTGAGCTTTTGTTGGATCATTGAACAGAACTGTTTTCAGTATCACTGTTTGAATGTCCACTTTGTATGCTTTAATATGATAACTTGAACAACTGTTTTTAAGATGACAATATGTAACCTAATAACTAGTGATTTCTTACTGTTTATTTTTTTGAAATTTTGTATTACTTCTACCCTTTTTTCTATTTTTTTTTTCTTTTTCTCTTGAAACAAAAATTTAAAAAAAGATTGAAATGGGAGATTGAAAGGAGGGGTTTGTTTTAGATAATAAAGGATGGGTGTCATTACTGGGGCCCATTTAAAATCAGGGTGTGAGAAGGTCTATGATAGACTGTTTGGTATTATCCAGTCTGCTGAGCTACCATGTGTAACATAGAAAAAAGGTAAACTGTAGAGTGATTTAGGATGGCATTGTATAGGGCCAGAGGAAGAAAGTAGAAGGTATATGGGTTTTCTGTTTTTTGTTTGTTTGGAAAATTGATTTACACGGGTATTTAGGTATAGTTTCTTGAAAATCTAAAGGAGAAAGGAAAGACCTGAGGAGGCTGAGCAATAGAGATGCTGGGAGGAGGGCCATGTAAGTCTACTCTAATGCCCGTGTATACAAAAACTAAATTTATACATTTTTTTCATGGAGGAAAATTTTCTTCTATCAAATTCAATGTATTGTGCTTTTTTTTTGTTTTGTTTTGGTTTGGTTTTTTTTTGTTTTTTTTTTTTTTGTTTGTTTTTGGTCAGAGACTTAAATTTGGCTTTCCATTGAAATATGTTTAATATTTCCTAAGGCTGAAAAATACTGTCTACCTCCACTGGGCTTGGCTGTGGGAGACAGAGGTGGCGTGTGGGGTGCATTTCACTGTAATCGTGCTTCATGGCAGGTGGCACTGTGGGAAATCCATTCACCAGGTTGCCAGTCAGACCACTGGGGCTCTAAGGCTCCTCCACCTTGAGCTAATTAGGACTAATCAGCAATTTTACAATAAATACCGCTGGTGTGAACTCAGGCTAATCCCAAAGAGTGATGTCCTGCATGGTAAAGTAGGATAAGCTGGTACCGTGGCTATGCAAGATCCTCAGAAAAGGTCTGTAGAGTGACAAGGACCAGGGCCACCTCTGCCCTAGTCTACAGGGGATGGAGAGAATCTCCTTGGAAAGAAATTCCCCAGGAAACTCACGTCTACCTCAGAGTTATCCTCTCCATGCTGGGGAGGAAGATAATTGGCTTCCACCATGCAAGATGATAATGTGTGTTTTCAAGACGGCAAAAATATGTGTTTATTAAATGCACTTTCAGAAACATTAAGTTAAAATTCAAATCCTTTAGGGACTCCCTTTACCTGTGAAGGTACTGGTATCCACACATTCAGTGCTGGCAGAGGGTGTTCGGGGTACGGAGGGGTCATCCCCACTGTAAGCTCTCAGCACATACTTCTCGATGACACCTGTAACCCCAGCAGGTTCATCCCAGGTCACCTCAACACTGTACCCATCGATACTGCGGATGCTGGAGGGGGCCGGCACACTTTGCGGGGCTGTGAAAGAATCCAAGAGAAGATACAGAAAACGGCAGCTCTGGAAAGATGCCTGGCCTGTTCTTCACTTTTAATGGCTGCAGTAAATCAGATTCAACCATTAGCATAAATACAATTTATTAGAGTTGTAACTTTTCAGCATTGATTTAATATGACTGCACATCTTGAGCCATTCAGTTTAAGCGATATTTCAAAACCATCAAAACTCCATCGACATAACGCTCTTCCAAGCCTAGTCCAGGTTTTCCAAAAACATTTAATGTATCCGAAATGTTTAAACATCACTCATAAAGCAGGAGGGTATGGTAGGCAGGGAACAAGTTCAAGCTGTATAACGAAGTACCCTTTGGAAGCAAGATAATTAGACTGTTATTATACATAGTGTTTGACACTTCGATATCTTCCATAATAGCCAAAAAAAATCACATATGTGATTGTACTGTACATGAATGCCAGATTCCTTTTCCAAATTCAGTTGTTTCTCAAGTTATCTTAAAGAAGCAAAGTTCTACCAGCTATGATGGACCCGATATATTTTTAATTGCATGGATTGGCGGGGTGGGGTAAAGAATCCAGTGCCCTTGAGAGCTTCCCAAATTGTTTTCAGAGATAATTCTCTTTGGAGTACCTCAAAAACAATAACACAGAATGGGAGAGTTACAAAGAGCTGCAGAACCTCACTCGCAAGCTGAGCCTCCTAATTTCAAAACTCCATCACCTTTAACTATTTATTAAATATTGCTGTGGCCCTGATCAGTAACAACAGCTTCTCAGCTGACTACATGGGAGACACCAGAAAGAGCCCGAGGAGCTCGGTGGCAGGATGATGGATGAGGCCGGTGCGGGCAGCTCGTGGGCTCCTGAGCCCCATCGATGGATGATCACTGTGCTTTCACCACATCGAATATCCTCCTCCTCCTCCCACTGTCCTGCTCAGCCCACTAAAATCGGACAGCTTTCAGGGAGACACACGGAACAGAAAGGAGGCAAGAGGAGGAAACGCAGAGGAGGGGAACTCTCTGTGCACCTCCAGCAAACACAGCCCACACAATCAAGCTGCAAGTAGGGAGACAAAGGGACGAGGCGCTGATTTTATTAGTTCTGAAATGTGGTACAGGGCAGAATCCGTACTGTCTAACAGATGGTCTTCTCATAAGGGACAGAGCAAAACTGACTCAAAAATAATTAAATAGTGCAATTATTCTCCAACCCTTGGGAGCATGTAGTTGCTTGATGTTGTGGTCAGACTATAAATATGAATTTATGGCATAAGACTGTGTGGTCAGGTCGTGGCTATAAATTTAGGGCTGTTTGCATACTTTCTCAGTGGGTACTAAAGCGACATATCCGGGTGTTTTAAACTGCTGACATTTACATCACCAGCATAGCTGAAGCAGGCTCTACAGGATTTTGTTAAGAAAGCACAGGCATATGAAGCAGGGGCAGAAAACACAATGGTAACAAATGAACAGTACACCCGAGAGCTTTCTCCCAGCTCTGAAGTTGAATAGATTTTAAGAGATCATTCAGGTCCTGGTCTTGTCTATAAGTAGATGATAATTTAAACCATCTGAGCAAAGTGTCAAGTTTTCCCCTTTTGGAAAGCCAGGAAGCAAAGCACCTTGAGCATTATTGATAGTAGCCCGGCTCCCTTTTTAATTATCTCTGAGATTAAGAAGATTCCTCAAAGGACCCCTGGGGTAATAACTCATTGCTACTGATCAGAATACTAGAGCATCCTCCTGAAAAACTATCCTTAGACAAACTGGGACTTGATAAACTTTCTCCCAGACACACAAGTGCTACTGTATGCAGATGTGTTTGCCTTTCTGACAAATGCTTGTCCCATATGGGACAATGTTGATAATTTACATAAAAGTCTGTGATGAGCACCTTCCTGGGATACTATGATGCAGTGAGATTTTGTTGCCACTGTTAGAAATACAAATCACTTCTAAGTTGTCTGACACTAGGGCTAACATATTTTATCTCTCAGTTGTTACTTTTTCAAGTTAAAAAAAATTAACCTGATCAGCAATTTCCTTCCAATGGCAGTCATTTAAAGAGCCTACCAGTCCATGCCATGGCAAACATCTGCAGTGACCCTCTATCAACACAGCTGCTCTGGACCACATCCTGGTCATTCATGTGCTATCTGTGTGACCATCAAGTGACTGCCGCCCAGCTAAAGGCAACCCTAGCCTTTGAACTCAGCTTCCTTGGATCTGTAAGCTACAAGGCTTCCCATTCTTGGGAAATATGGTAGGCAGTGCTTATGAAATCCTGGCGACACCTCCATTTCCATTTGTGAATCCAAATAGAAGAGAATCGAGGCTTAGCAAATAGTAAATTCTTAAAAAAGTGAAAAGCCCTGATCTGGTGAGTGTTTTAGCCTCTGAGGTTTTCAAACTGAGCCATGCTCTGTCAGATCACAAGGGGACCCTGCTGCAGGGCGACGGCCCTGCATTTCTGCACACACAGGTAAGCGTTTTGGATACAAGGTATTTACCTGTTGGCATTGTCCGACCCCGAGTCCAGTCACTGTACACTGAGCCTCCTTCATGCGAGGCTCTCACTCGATACAGGTATTCTTCAATAGAAATAAGAAGCAGAAAGGTTAAAATATTCCCCATGGAGGCTCACGGCTGGCTGGCCGACAGGGAACAGTTAGTACACAGGGACAGGACCCCCATTACCTGTGAAGGGCTGAAGCCCACTGTCATGAGCACTGTGCTGGTGTCCCCGGAACACCATGATGGAGTCATTTCCCCTGCAGTTAGCGGCACTGGCAGGTGATAGGCATCCATCCAGATTGACTCTGACAGCAAGGCTGGACACAGATGCCAAGTTAACGACAGCCCCATGTGCAAAGGCAACCTCCTTCACGCAGCCGCCGAAACCTAGCAGAGAGAAAGGCACTTATGCACCCAAAGGCTGAGCCATCTGATTAGCCACCCTGGCTGTGCGCTGAGCAGCCCCATCCTGCCAGAAGGGGCTGGCTCCGGACCATGGGGCGGCCTCCATATCTCCTTTGGAAAATCTCTCAGACATTCTCCTTTGAGACAAGTTAACTGTCACAGAGACATACTGGTATTTACGTTACTGTGAAAATCTACATGTACATAATTATAATCTGACTTTTGAAAACAAAAGCATTTATTTTACCTGTTTAGACCCACATTTTCTAAATTCTGTTTCTTGTCAGCAAATAAAATACAGGCAATTATGACTTTCAGTAGGGCAGGATTCTCATGGCCCTGAATTCTAGAAAACTGAATCTTTATACAATCAGTGCTCATTGAGTACCAAAAAAATGCATGAATTAGTGTGATTGCGTAACATGGAGAAAAAAACACTCTTTGAGGATTTTATGCAGGGCAACAGGAGAGAGACGATTGCTTCAAAATATGAAAGAACCCTAAGACTTTGCCCAAGTTTCATGGTGATCACTTCAGAGGTCTGGATCCACTTAAACTGTGCTAGAAATGAGATAATGCTGGGACCTACCCAGTTCACTCAGGTTCACTGTTCCTGAATATACAAGACTGGAATACGCACCTGGAGTATGCAGTATACACCTTGAGTACAACCCAGCTTGGTTTTCAAATATTTTTTTTGACTTTTTGAGAGAGGGTTTCACTCTACAGTTCAGGCTAGACTTGAACTGTAGCTAGGCTGGGCTTAAACTTGCAGTGATCCTCCTGCTTCAGCCTCCTGAGTGCTGGAATGACAGGCGCGAGCCACCATGCTTGGCCTTACACCCCAGATTTATGTATGCAAGTCCAACATTCAGCTCTGGGAATCTTAGTGTCCTGAGCTTCCCTACGTGCGTATCCTACAGAGGTGCCTTAGAAAAATCCCTGTGCAGTACCCTTCTGAGAAGTTTAACACAGAATGTGCATGAAATGGGTTTGGCGTTTCCACTGCCAAAGGAAGAGCAATCGCGCTGAATCACGTGCCAGATTGTGTGGAGAGAGAGAAGCTTGGTGACGTCTGGCAGAACTCTATTCAGAAATCTGCACAAAACCAGGACCAAGAGGACCACGGAGGAGCCTGTGACAGCATGCACACTCTCTCTGCACAAACATCAAGTTTGAAAGGCCTCAAACTTAGGCTTAGCTCCTCTCCACATTAGAATGATGCTATTGTTCTCGTCAGCATTTATACGATGTCCTCTGACCTGTGAAGTAGCAGCCGACTTCTTTTTTAAATGCTTTGGCCTTTTGCTATCATTCACATTGCTTTAGGCCCCACTGGTCCATACCTGAGTCTGCCTTAAACACAGTAGACACTTGGCAATGTGGCTGAGTTTAATTGAAAGCAGTGGGCTCCACAGAAAAGCAATCACTGGAGAACTCAAAAGCCAGGAATTCCAGCTTTCTACTAGCAGCAATTTTCTGAAAACGCACAATTGAGTTCCCAGCTTCTCTGTACTTGAATACTCCTTGCAACCAAACCAGACCTTCAAAATGCTTTGGCCGTCATGCAGCTTTGGCAAACATAGAGGAGTCACGTCAAGAAATTTCACATTATGGTGCAGGTTCCGTTTGACTAGATGAAAACAGTCCTCAGGACAGACAGTGGTGATCGCCACACAACAATGTGTGTCCACCTAATGTCACCGAACTGTGCCCTTACACAAGGCTAAAAGGGTGAGTTTTATGGGTTTGTTTTTGCATTTTAATACAATTTAAAAAGTTTTAAATTTAACAAAAATAAAATAACTTATGGGAATAGAAAAATAGATCTTTTGCCAAAGAGAAAGGGGACCAAGAGATGGAGGGAGAGGGAAAACAGGGGAGGAAAAGAGAACCATGATATGTTACGTACGTAGATCAGCTTCCCATGATGAAGAAGCCACTGGGCACGGCAAACCCACACCAATAAAAAATGAGAAAAGGAATTAACTCACAAGACGGAGTTTTTAAAATTGGAGAAGGCAAAACATGCTGGAGAGGCCGCTGGGAAAAAAAGAACTCTTCTACACTGTTGCTGAGAATGTAAAGGAGCATGGCCTCCATGGCAATCGCAATGGAGATTCCACAAAAGACAAAAATTAGGAACACCATGAGTCAGCTCTTCCCCTTCCAGATATCTCCCGCATGGAGTTAAAAAGTGTGATATCACCATGATCCATGTGTACCCACACTGCTAGCAGTACACTCACGATAGCCAAACCTTGGAAGCAGCCTGTATGTCCATCAAGAGATGAAAGGATAGAGACAGTGGTGTTTACACCCCGTGCGGTACCACTCTGCCAGAAAGAAAGACAAACTTGAGTCATTTGTAGGAGAGCGAACACACTTGGAGACCACAATGCAAAGTGAAATGAATCAGACACACAGCATAAATATTGCAGAGCACATGTGTGACTCAAATATAATAAAGCGCAAATGAAAAGATGGGTAATAGAAAGTAGGGAGATAGATCTTCCTCAAAGAAAAAAGGGGGTCAAGAGATGGAAGAAGAAGTGAAGGAGAAAGGGGGGAAGAGGAGGAGAAAAGAAAGGACAAAAAGGATGTGTTATGCATGGTTACCAACTCCCCACGGGAAATATAAACACTATGTACTACAAATATGCACTAATAAAAATCTTTACACAGAGATCGTAGTCGTTAGAGAGAGAAAACATTCACACAGTTGTAAAATGAGGCCCAAAGTATCCATCCTTCTAAAGAAGTAGCCCTCCAGCTTCGAGAGCAGGAATTCAGGCTGCTGAAGATGACCGCAGGGTCTCCACTGTGTACCCTCCTGTGGGGACCACAGCAGCAGCTTTGCCTCCGTACCCCAAAAGCACTTCCCACCTGACTTCACAAATCAAATGAAACATGAGGACAAGAAGAGGGGCAAGATAGAAAGGATGTGTTTGTCAGGGTGGCCGCTGCTTCTCTTGTTCCCTGCTTCCGTGAAAATCAAAAAGGACACCACCTTCCTTAGATCTCTCTAGACATGCGCCACCCCTGCCCACATGTCTAACTACCAAAAGGTGGCCCAGAGCTCCGGGCTGGCAAATGGCAAATGCACTCGTCCTTTCTCTGTACTGTGGTCCTGCACCAGCATGTCCTGCCCTGTCCTCTGGGCCCTGTGCAGCATACATGACACCAGGTGCTACATCCAGGTAGATGGAAGTGACCTGCCCTAGGGACACTACTCAGAAGATGATTGCCATGATCCCAGGTATTCTAGAAAATTATGCTTCCTCTTCCCAAAGAAGACAAAAGAAAAAATGAAGGGGAAATTAATTTCACATTTGATAGGAATACAAGATTAATGGGTAAGAAAAACAGCTGATAGGACCACAAAATAAAGACTGTGACAACAATGTAATTCAGGAGGACAGGAAAGAAAGAAGAAAGCGTTTTAAGACTATGGACACGGGAGGGAAAGAAATATGTTAAGTGAGCATGGTTCATTTTAATCTCAACTGACTACCTGCACGCTGAATTTGTATACAGCCGCCCAGCGAGCATTCTCCCTGGGCGCTGTGTAAAAACATCAGCACCTCACACAAACCACCATCTCTCAAAGCATGAAGCTGGGATCTCAAAGAATGGGGGGACTGAAGGATCTGCATTTTTAGTAGCCCTTCTCTCTGATCCCCGTGTACATGGTAACAGTACCAGCTAATTCTGATTTCTTACCACATTTTAGCTACTACACATGAAATATCTCACCAGCAGTTTGAGGGCCACTGGTACGAATGATGTTGCAATGATAAAAATTTAGTATTACCCATAAATAAAATATCCTTCAGTATCAGAGACGTAATCCTGGAATGGGTAAAATTATTCCCCCTAGGTCTCTGTGGATGTCTTAAACCTCTATCTTTATCATCTGAAATTTCATTTTAGCCATGTCTCCAGGACTCCAATAGTTATGACTTAGGTGTAATTCAGGAGCATAAGGCTGTGAAGGCAGGTTTATGTTTTTTTCCTTAGTTATAAACAGGTTCAAATAGTCTCACTCATACAAAGAGTTTTCAAGCCTTTTCTACTCAAAAGCCTGAAACCCTGGAGAAGATCTTCTATGCGTGTAATATTTTTAGCTGCTGCTACATCTTAAATGCCTTGAGAATGTCATTACTGTCTTCCACCCCTGTTATTCATTAACTCCTTACTACTATCCTGCTAAAAGTCTCCTTAGAGCTTGCCATATATTTTCCATTCAGAGGCATTTAAATCTTTATGTACTTACCAAATAGGCAAAGGCCGCTTCCTGGAAATTTTAACCATTCATGGGCATAGGTTTTAAGATACATAGAGGGCTCCTGCGGGGAGCTCTTGGGTTTCTCTATGCTGCAGAGAAGCCATCCTGGGCAGTGTGCACAGAGGGGATGCTGGCCTGAGCCCCTGGGGTGCCCGGGGCACACTCACTCTGGCCACGTGCTCGCCAGCCATGTGACCTCAGGCAGGTTTCCCTGCCTTTCAGCTTGGTCAACTATGAAACAGGGATATGAATCAACACCAGGCACCATGCAGATTTTCAAGGAAAACACAAAAGGGAGATTTACCTTTATTATATATAATATCTAATTTTATATGTATTATATGCTTATCACTTGCATGATTATCTACATATTACATGTAATATATACATTAAATACATACTACACACTATTGTGTATATTATGCAGTGTACTAATACAATATATACTACACATTATATGTATACAATTATGTATAAAAATACATTTGCTGCAGATGTGACAGGATAAATATGCTGATTATAACTGAGACAGTGGTGTTCTCTTGAGGGTAATGTAGGTAACTATTTGAAGACGTATTCAGTGAGTGTTATTTAGCGCTTAAAATTATCTAACGACAGGGAGAAGGTGTGAGTGGGCATTATTACCAGTCTGGGTTCACTACGCTATTTTGAAACCAAGCATCATGAAACCTGATGGAATAAGGGCTGACTGATCATTGTGTTTCTCTGGAGGGGACTCACCTTGTTCCAGACTCAAGTGCCCAAAAGCACCCCGCAGCTCCTGTGGGATCCCCCCGACATACACGGGCGAGTTCACCACCAAGGCACGCGCTGCAGACGCGGAGTAGCGCTGGGTCTGCGCGTTCACGCCTGCTGCTAGGCGGGGGCCGTGCTTCTCAATCACCACGTCGTTCCACTGCCCATCACAGTAGGACAGGCCCAGCCAGAGGTCCACTTGCGCAAAGGTAAGACTGGCATTTGACCGGAAGCTCAATACCCCACTCTTCAGCTCTACCTGTATTGCATATTAAAAAAGAAATAGGTGTGTGTGAAAAGCCTGCAGAATTACAGTTTGGGAGAGAGCAGAAGGTCAATTTCTTGAAGAAAAGCAAGAAATTTTCCTGAAAGCGCTCTATAAAAAGGCTCCATTTTATCCTCAGCAGAACAAGAGTAACAGATAATGAAACGCTTTGCAGGCTACAATTGACATGAGGGTTGTTGTACTGAGTCAAACAACTCATACGCAGGCGTGATTATGCTACGTGATGAGGTGTTAGATAACCCTAAGCTTTTAAAAAAAGGTAGTTAAGAGATTAAATCCTAGTACAAGTAACTGAACAGCTGCTGAGAACAGAACAGTTTGAACTATGACTCTGTCTTTTTGGTTTTTAGAAAATGAGAAAATGCTGCTTCATATATCAATTTAATTTGGGGGAAAATATGACAAGACAATAAGAAAATGAAATGTCAAGCTTGATGAAGTTTATTTTAACTGGTTAGTGAACTCAATTTCAAATTTGTAAGATATATTTTGATTCAATATTTCAGCTTTGTTCCAAATCTCTAACGTAATTGCTTCTGCGTGTATTCTTTTAGATTAGTGTGCCATTTTCTAATGTGAACAAATTTTATCTAAATCTTCATAGAAAAGGAAACATATTCTTATGTTTTCTTTCAAAATGTTACATAATTATTTTACCAAGAATATTTTTATTGTATTAAAAGTCAAACCAGCAACCATAACATAGTTGAAACTTTGACATCGATTTTGTCAAAACAAAATCATACCAGACAGAATTATGTTTTTTGTGTGTAAATATCATCTTGAGGAAGTACACTAGGTAAGCTGACACTCACTGAATGGCTTTGCAGTCCACAAATGTTGAGTTCAAAACTAGGCTCACACACTGCTGCAATATCTTCCAAGAATCACCTTAATCAGAGAAGCAAACACAGAGATGGGGTCAAAGCTAAGACCAAGATAAGAACAGGGTGCTGTGGAGGCAGAGAACACATGTTTTTTGTTCTCTTGGAATTATGAAAAATTTAAATTAAGGTTTTTAGAAGTAAAAAACAGTCACAGAAGGCCCTTTGAGGAAGGCATTAACATACACAGTGGCATAGGGCCCTTAGCATTAAAGAAAGGCGGCGGATAGCATACAGGGCACGGCGCAATCCAGGCAGAAAGTCCTGTCAAGTGCGTGGAAACCAGACAGCGAGGACTCTGAGGGACAGGTAGCGGCCAGCTTTTCTCTCATCTGACGGCGATGCCCGCACACCGTCCCAAGGTCATCCTCCCAGGACATAGGAATCTCATATTAGAAGTTAGGAAGTCAGTAAAATTATGGAAATAAAAAAAAAAAACAGAGAGCCACTAAATTAAGGACAATACCAAGGGTGACAGGGAAGACACAAGCTAAGTATTTCTGAATAGCAGTTCCACAAGACCTGTAAACAAATGCGTTAGATGCATGTGGAAGTTAAGGACACCCACGATCTTTTTTGAGGTAACTAGGGGAACGTTTTATGTCTTCATCACCACGTGAAAAGCCTTTGGGGCAGCAGCTGGTTTTGGTGGGAAGAAGGGCTCGTTCACCATGGACACAGGGAGCTTGAAATGGGCACCAAACACCCAGAGGGTACTCTTTTGGGAGAAAATTGAACATAAAGATATGTAAATATGATGAGCCAATAAAATAGTGGAAACTCAGGACAAAATAAAAAAGTAAAAAATTTAAAAAGTAAAATCATCCATTTGACATAAAAAGGGGGGAAAGGGGAAAAAATTTAAACTCTTCAGGAAGGGCAGTGTTTTAGGAGAGGAACAAAAGAAATAGCTTTCATTTAGGGGTATGGGGATACGAATTAACTTCCTATTAATTGTCTAGAAGTGGATCTTTAGGGTGAAGAGGATTTCACAGAAGAAACCAGAAGGATTGGCTGAAAAGCAAGAGGAACTAGTATCTTAGAAAGTCGCTCGGGGAGAATTTTCTTTTTTTGCTAAGCAAGAGGATGAGAAGGACCAAGTAAGTTAAGTGACGACCCGTTAGGCTGCAAATGTGCGGCCACTGGAAACCTCACAGCCGCGACTCTGCAGTGGGTAGGGCAGAGCGGGGAGCCCTCTGCACAGCAGTTTTGGGGACCCACTTCAGGGAGGAAAGTGGAGATGACAAGAGTAATCAGTTTCCATGCACCCGACTGTAGAGAGAAAGAGAATACAGTGCAGGAGGTGGACACTTCAGGAGAAGCCAGAGGGCCAAGAGAGGGAAGGTGTGGACTTATGGGGGTGGGGGACAGACAATAAATATAATGGAATAAACCCACGGGAATCTGCCGACCTCAGAGCATGACTAACCCTCACACCTGTTCTCCGATGAGAGAACAGATGAAAGTTCAGCCTTGTGGATGCTGGAACTGCAAAGAAGGTGGCTGTGTGGATGGAAATGGGGTTGAGGAGATGAGGATTTGAGGATACTGGTGCTTGGATAGCTAAGGTATGGAGAAAATAAATGGAGAGCGGACTCCTAGCCAGTGGTCTTAAGATCGCTGTGGGAATGAGAGAGGAGGAAAGTTATATTCTGAGGTTAAAGATTTTAGTAGTGGAAATGTTCTGTCCAGCCTGGAGGTGAGAAATGTGTACTGAAGTGACTTAGGACCACAGGGAGGGTCCGAGAAGCAGTCGAAGTCAGCAGGTGGAGGAGACTGGAATCTCAGTTGTGCAAAGGTCTGCTTCTCCACACTTGCACACGCAGTGGTAAAAGAGACCACAACACTCTCTGCATAGTAGCCTAACATTCACTTTCAAAGCCAGCGTAAAGTGAACGCTGTCATTTAATATGGTGGGGATGCACTGTATTTTCAAAGGCCATGCAAGGAGCAGGATGGAGACCGAAGATGTGGCTGAAGAGGAAGTGTGAGGCCGAGCAGCGAACAGCTCCATCTCCTCCATGGCCGTGCAGGGAGAGACAGCTCCACCAGGCTTGGTGAGTCACCCAAAGATGAACTCCCCAAGATTCCCCCATCACATATACACATCCAGCACTATCTCCTATGCATGCCTAAGGGCAGCGGTTAGACAGGGAGGGCACAGTGTAGAGACAGCCAGGACCCCTTTGCTCCAAGAGACACATGACTGGAAGGAAGCTAGCAATAAGCAGGAGGCAAGCACATACTGGAAACCTAAGGCTCACTACACTCCTCAAGGGTTAAGTTTCCAATTCCCTTGTCAGAAAAATTGACAGTGTATAAACTAAGATGCAAACAACCCTGAACTGAATATATCTTAGAGTCTAAATATCTAAAATCACCAACATGCATATTTCACTTCCTATTTGCTAGAGATCAAGCATCTGAGGGTAAGAGGTCCAACATTTTCTATTGAGTCTAGGTGAGATTTTTAAAGAATTTTTATAAAATGCACCTTTTAATAATATAATTGTTTTTGACAGTAGTATGTCATTGAATGGCTAGATGAACTAAAAAGCAGTTTTTGCCCATTGCATTGAGGGAAACACCTGTAAATGTTCTCAGCAGTCTTATGCACTGTAACAAACATGAAACAACCAAAACAGAAGGACATGACAGAGCCAGGGGAAACAAATACCAACGTGAAATACAAGTGATCCAGAGATGATGCTGAGAACTAGCGGAAATTGTTCGAAGACAGAGGATAAATCCAGTTTTGTTTCATTTTGCTTTACTTTGACACAGGATAAGTTGCTAAACTTCCCCAGCAGACCTTAAACTTGCAGTCCTCCTGCCTCAGCCTGCCAGAATGCTAAGATTACCAGTGTGTGACACCACTCTGGAATAATAGCACTTTTACAAGTTTCAAAGGCAAGTGTTTTGGTGTTCATATATGATCTTCTAACTATAAGATGCAAGTAATAATAATCACCAAATTCTGATTATGTATTATCTCTGGGAGACACAGATAATAGAACAGGAGATACCTTGTACCAAATAAAACATCATGATGATTTAGCTCTTGGGTTGCATGATGTGCCTAAGAATTTTCATTCTGTTATTATACTTTACTGTAAGTAATGGAAAATATTTGTCAAATGTATTCTGTTAAAATATATCAAAATTAAAGAAGGAAGTTATATTTTTCACATACTGGGAAACTTAATTCTTTCTAGTTAGACTATTTTGTTAAAACTGCAATTTTACAGAATGATTATTTTAACCCTGGATGATAGAACATTTGACAGGACTCTAAAACTAAAAAAATGTTTAGGGAAAAGTTATGAAAGTGAATTAGTAGCAAAGCCACAATTCAGTATAACATTCTTTTAAAACTGAGCCTGACATTGGGAGGTAAATATAATTAAATTAACATACAGCAAGAAAATCAGGTCCATCTTTGTTGTAAATGAAAAGAAGCAATCCATTTACTTGGTCAGTTCTGAACTTCAGAGAAATCTCAAAATCCATTCCACCACGAAACACACCCGGATGAAGCTGCAGGAATCCTTCAGGAACAAGAACAGGTACACGTTAGGCTCGCAATGCAGTCCAGCACCATGAAGGTGCTGTAAGTTTCTAGGACCTGAAGTGTCTCACAAAAAGCAGGCCAGTGAGTGCTATGAAATCCCCTCGTAACTGCACCCACCTGGCTGAACTTCATATGCCTCTTAAGGGGATGTGATTTGCTTCCTAAGTCATATAAAATCCTGCATGATACAAGATTATTTCACGTACGTATCAGCTACAAGTAGTCACCCCAAGGAAAACCCAGTACGAGGCTGATGAGGAAAAGAGCAATGGAAAAGTACACAGATCATAATGTCATTAGCATCAGCTGCTTCTCTCTTCTGAAGGTAGATTAAGCCACTTCATAAACAGCCAACATCGTGGGGCTGGGGATTTAGCTCAGTGGCATAAGCACCTGCCTTGCAAGCAGGCAGTCGTGAGTTCGATCCCTGGTACCGATAAAAAAAGGAAAAAGACAAAAAAAAAAAAAAAAAGCCAATATAGCCAAGAGAAAGCTGTGACACTAACATAGGTAAACCATCAAGGGTGTGGGTCCTGAGAAGGGCTACATGCAAACAGATACTTGTAAATCTTATTATCTTTTTAGGCTTTAAAATATATTTATGTGCTCAGCAGAGCGGATCGTGAACGTGCTCCAGTGGCCCATGTGTTAAAAGGCTTTTTCCACAAGGGGGCGCAATCAGAAGGTAGTGGAACCTTTAACAGGTGGGATTTACTGGGAGATCTTTAGGTCCCTGGCTTCAGGGATTTGGAGGTGACTGTGGTCCCCTGGCTTCTCTGCATTCTCTTACTTCCCAGAAACAAGGCGAGTAGTTCTGCTCCACCCATAATTCCTACCCTAACATGCTGCCTCAAAAACACAGGCTCATAGCCACAGGCACAAATGATACTGGATCGGAACCACTAAAACTGTCAGCCTAAGGAAACCCCTTCTCTTTATAAGTTGATTATCTCAGGTGCTTTGGTACCGTGCCGGACAGCTGTTGAATACACATGATAAACCACCCCAAAGTCTATTGTAGATATTACCTGCTCCGAGGAACTGGACTCCCTCGTTCAATGAAGCAGGGCATCCTTCCCAGCTGTCATAGACATTGATTTGCTCTTCAGAGCTCTGCCAATCCAGAGGTTCCCAAATAGCAGAGGGATTGTAACTCTTCATAAAATGCACATCCTTGAGACAGCCCACAAAACCTTTCTGGATAATCTCTGCAGGGATTGACAGATGTCAAGACATGTACATGATGTGTTCTGAAGGATTCTTTTCAAGCAATTAACTTTATATCCCATTAAAAACAAAGAAATAAGCCATAGTCTTACCACCTACCTACCAAAAACCTCTAATAATTCATGTCAACACCACACCACCGCTATAATAAATGGTAGTAATTACATGTGAGCTGTGTCATACTCCAGAGACAGATCTTTGTGCACAAACCTTGGCTTTACAGTGCTAGCAAGTGTATTGCCTTTTGCACCAACAGGAGATTCACTTATGAGCCTCAATGCTGAAGAGCTATGATAACTTTCAAAGCAGGGTTGAAGGAAATCCTTCTACTCAAGCTGTACGTACAGTACAGTGCCTTCATCAGGATGAGCCAACCCAGTATCCAAATGAATTCCAGAATTTGATTTCTCATTGGAGATTTTGTGTGATGCTGATTTTAAATTTGGAATTCTCCAGAGTCGGTAGAGGCAAGGTAGTATACATAAATATGGCAAATCTTATATAAACGATATGAGAGAGTGATGAAGAAAGCAAGAACAATATTGAGAGAGGAGAACATGTTGTGTGGCTGTGTCCTTCCCGGTGGGGGTGGAGCATGACCTCATGTTTGAATGAGGTCTCACTGGATTCCCGGGCTCATGTCCACCAGCAGAGATCTGAAGGCCAATGTAACAGGCCAACTCACTCCTTTCTAAAGGAGACGGGCTCTGAGAGAAGCACCCGGCACCAGAATATTCATTCCTGCTGGCACTTGGAACTCCCAGTGCGCTAAAGGGCAAAGAAGTAGACCAAAGGGGTGTGTGTGTGGTGTGTTAGAAGTGTTTGTAGATCATCCTAAATTAGACAAATGAATGAAAACTCTCTCTCCTCTAGAAACATCTCTGAGGCAGTAACCATTACTGATTTTGAAAATTCAAAGTATCCCTTATGACTTTACTAAAAATGTTTTATTTCTTTTGATGTTTTTCATAGTGATTCCATGAACACCACTACTTGTAGAATGAGTATACTCCTCTGAGTCTTAGCTCCTGTGTAACATTGTATAGATACACTGTAATTTTCTAGGAGAAATTTAAAAATGAGAATTTGGGAAAAACTGTAAGATGCTTAGCAATGTTTTTGAAAGATGGTTATTTTCTGCCTGTGATGATTTTCTTCATGTTAATTTTTATTAGTTCTAGGATGTGCTTTTGTTCCCTTGTCCTAAAAATGTGGGAATTATTTACAAACCTCAATTATAGCACTGGGCTAGAATTGTCTGTTTATATATCTGTTCTCTCCATTGTGACAAAGACCACATCTTCATCATATATGAATATGTAGGGATTGGTTTGGTGACAGTTTAGTACTCAGGGAGTCGTCCTCATCCTGTTTAGAGTTAAGTTAGGCTCACTTTTTTCTATTTCTGGATTATTTACACTAAATTTAAAACCCTAAAAGATATGCATAAGTACCCAAATAATATACCTGTGACTGAAATTAGTACAATTCATTTCAGCAAATGCTCACTAAATTTCCTTTCTGTATGAAGAACGGGGAAATAGCAAGATAAATACAAATACTACATGGTTCCTTTAATAAAGAGGAGCCCTAAGGGAAATTTTGATGCATGTCTATAAAAAACACAACACTTAGTCATACTTTAAAATAATGGAAGCTGACTTTAAGTTTGCGGGCAATTTGTAAACGAGCTCACCAGCCTCCTTCCGCAGGATGGCGTGACCCTGGGGCAAACCGCCCACAAAGAGTCCTGCATTGTCCCCAATGATGGTGCTCCCATTCGGGGCGGCCCCAGAGCCTACGGAAGAAGAGATGGAAGTCCAGCTTCAGCAAGACAGTCACAAGCTGCTGAGTTATCAGGGGACAAAGCCATTCTCTGAGCTCTTCGACACCACTCTGTCCCGCTGCCCCTCTGAGCTCTGTGCATCACTGGTTTCCTTCTTGTCCCCACACCATGATGTTGGAGTGACTGACCTCCTGCTCAGGGTCCTCCTAAGAGATGAACAGTGAGCTTGGCCTCTGGGCAGATTACCAGGGCCCAAGCCAAGAAGAGAAGCCTGGATACCTGGGTATTCCATAACGATGCAAATTCTCCATGAAGTTTCTATCTAGCTCTCCCCTTCTTTGGGAAGAAAGATAAATTTTATTGTTTTTTAAAATTATTTTTCAGAGCTCTGCATAATCTAGTCAGCTCAACTTACCTCTGGTACCTTTGCTGGAAAATCTCAATTTTCAGTCTAGATGCCTTCCCGGCACCCAGTACTGTCAGTAGGCTACATCCTCAGGCTGCCTGATACGCCTACCCACGTATCCAGGCATCTAAGACTTAACTGGCTCAGAGCTCGGCTCTGAATGTCTCTCTACATCTCCTGCCAGCATCCTGAACAGCTTAATGTTGAGAGCTACATTCCTCCACCTACCTGTCGAGGTCCCTGTCCCAGAAATTATTGACAAGCAAGGCCAGCAGCCGCCATCAGGCAGGCCGTAGCTCTGGGTACTACCAGCCTCTAGCAGGCATACATAGTGCACCAATGAGCAGGCAGAATTGAGTTCCAAGAAAACTCCAGCTATCAGAACAGATGTGAGCTGGCATGGGCTCACCAGTGCCTATTTACCCACCCCTGCTGCCCTCCAGTCACGTCATCAAAGCCTGTTCATCTGACATCTGTGACACCCCCAGAATCTGACCACTTCTCATGGTGTCCACAGTGGACCTCCTGGTTGGCGTCACCATTAGTGGCTGTCTGAATCATGACAGAGGAAGGGCAGAAGTCCATTCACTTGTGTCCGTGCTTCCACCGTCATTCTCTCAAAATTTATTCTCAACAGAGCAGCCAGAATGATTCTGTGAATCAAGTGTCTTGTTGCTCCTGTCTCTCTCCGAGTTCTCCAGTTACGTCCCTCCTTCAGAGAATAAAGCGATCTCGTCTCGGATCACTGACCTCATGTCCTGTCATGAGTCCTATCACACCCCCTTCCCCACTGGCCTACTTGTCGGTCCTTGGCATGCCACACTAAGGGCCCCATGATATGCCAACATCAGCTTAGCAACCGAGCTGCATCTGGGCCAGAGGGCTGCTCACCTGAGTACTGCCCATCCAGAGTGATTCGGCCGAAAGCCTGATGCCTGATGGCAGTTATCTCATGCCACTGGCCATCGCTGTACTGTTTACTGTCATCATCAGTCGTGGTGACTACCACTGGGGACCCCTTCAGAGAATGAATGAATGCATGGATGAGAACTTGAGAACAATCAGACACACAGACACCGGTGCGTGTGCTAGAGACCGATTTACACATTTCCTCTCTGTGCTCACAGTGCCAACAGCCAAAGCTTTCACAGCAAACTGGAAATTAAAGGCTGTTTCCGTTGGGGTGGTTCTGAATGCCCAGGACCTGCCCCTAAAAGCGCCTTCTCTGTGAAGTAAGCATCACTCCCAAGTCACTTGCATTTTGATTATCTGTGTTCCGGAGAAAAGTAATGAATATTCCAAAACTTTAGGCTTTTGATTTTCATGGCAGAACTGTGTAAAAGTAGGGAGGAAGTTAATAGAATAACACTGAGCCTTCCTTCCAAAGACAGGGACATGCCTGGCGGGCACTTTCTCTTCCTCTCACTGAACTACTAATAAAAAGGAATGAGATCAACACTAAAACTAGTCAGAAGTTAACCAGGTGTGGTTATGCAGGCTTGAAATCCCAGTATGAAAGGAGGCTAAGGCAGGAGGATTGCAATGTGGTGAGAGCTGGTCTCAAAAAAAAAAAAAAATGTCATGTGCAGTAAACATCCTGAGCTTAAGTGTGGGGCAAACTTTTTGCATGGAGCTGTGTCACATCAAATCTAACATGCATACTCTGGCCAGTGTAACGGTGTCACAGTTAAAACTGTGTTCCTAAGTGTAAGACCCTACGAAATGGAAGATGGAGAGAGAGAGAGAGAGAGAGAGAGAGAGAGAGAGAGAGAGAGATTAATAAAAAATCTTGAGGGTTAGGAAAGAAAGAGAACTAGACGGAAAACTTTTGTCATGGTACCATAGAACTAAGCAAGTACTGTTTCAGAAAGTTATCATTAATGCAAGGGAAATATTTTTAGTCTTAATACACAAATGAGACTGAATAAAATAAATTCCAACTTCATCATCGACTTCATTTACTTTGTTAAAAAAAAAAGAAAACTAAAATGAAACGAACATTAGTTTCTCTCATACTGAATAAAGTTGGTTTACTTAGAAAAATAAACTTCCTTCTAGTCAATATTTTAAACCACGTTAGGTTGCGTAAAGTACTGTAAATGTTTTAATTACCTGTGATATTGCACCAAACTCTAAGAATGTTGCTATACTGTGTTTCTTAGAGGAAACCGATCATTTTCTGATGTAACAGACTTGGAGACTGACGTGAAAACTGTGTTAATCACACAGGGTAAGGGAAGCATTTGTTTGTAGTTCCCTCAAGTAGCTGCAGTGATATTGTGGGTCCATGCTACACATTTCATTGGCTCCCGTCACACCTCATGACATAATTGACAATATATGTGACACACAAAAATTTTCATGATCCCAAGCAGAAACCAAAACATCTTTTAATTTCCCGAGAGTCTGAGTGGGTTGCTTCTCACAGGGTCAAAACCCCAACTTTCACAGCCAGCTCCATGAGCCAGAAGCAGGACCATCTGGACCACTGCTGGTCCTTGAATGTTGTGCAGCATGACTCTTTGTGTATCTGTTTTGTTCTGCGCCCCTTTTATTTTTCCAACACTATTTCAACATTTTAGTATTTTACAAACACACATTTCATTATCGTGGTTTAATAATTAAAAGCAGAACTGGTGTCGTGCCCAATTAATGTGCCCTGGTAGCATGCCCATTAGTTTTTCCATTAGTGAATTCAACAATACTAATGGGATTACTAGCATGGGATGCTAATTGGGCGTGACATAAGAAACTGGCTTACTTCTTAGCGTACCCTTGCTAATGATGAAATTAATGAGCATTTTATTAAATGCTGTCTCATCAAAGTGTACTTAGCGTTAAAATGGTTACAAACGATGTTGCATTCCAAAGATCAGGTGTCTAAGTGGCTCTTCATATTTTGTTTGGCAACAATCTGAAGTGTTAATAGTTCTCTAGATCAGAAATCACCTTTAATAGACACAATTTCAAGTGCATAACCTACAGTCATAGTGTGCCAAGCTCACTTTTATACTTAGAGGAAACGAAAATAGTATTTCTGGGCAATAGTTTTAAGATTCTTCCTCTCCCCTCCCTCATCCCCAATATAAAAATAATAATAAGTTCTGGTATGGTATTATGCAATTCATTATTTATTCCATCTGGAAAATAGCAGATGCAGTCAGTAGATGCTATGCAGCATTGTTTGAAATTTACTTTCAAAGCTTCCTTGTAACTATAAACAGAATGCTTTACGGATCCTCTGAGAATGTCACTGAACATAGAACACTTATGTGATAAGCCTAGATTGTTATCAGTTAATAAAATATCTGATCAAGTACACACAAAATCAAAATCAAATGAAGTATGAGCAGATTCTAGCCAACTGTTGAGACTTACAGTAAGTAATGCTGCAGTGAACTTTTTCTTTTCTCTGGATACCTTAATAAGGGTTCCAAGACTCATCAGAACATCACATATATTACCAATTTTAAACATTATAAAGAATTTCATCCTTTTTTTCTAAGCATTTATTCAACATAGTACACTAGAAAGCTGGTGATGAAAACAAGAAGTCTTTATATACACAGCCACAAGGTTAGGCTTACAGTTACATAAACAGTTTATTACCTGAGTTTTAAGGTATTTTTTTAAAAAGCACAGTATAAACTCCATATGAAAGAGTAACTTTTAAGATTCCCTAAAGATATTTTCTTCACTGAAAGAGTTTTGCTGTAGAATAAATTACAGAACATTATAGCGATAGTTCAACATGGTGGAAGGCCGTGTCAGGGATGTTTACCCTGAGGTCACTTCCTCCCTCCTATTACAACTTCCTTTTCCCTTTCCCAGTAAATGCAAAGAAACTTTCACTCAGCTCCTTGCACGTCATCAATGCCCGCCCTACGCCACCCCCAGTCAAAGGTTACATATACCCCATAACCCCATATCCAGACAGAGGAAAACCCAGTCCACTGCTGGCTGTGGGCTTCTCTCCATGTCCTTTGAATACAAGGCAACTTTTACTTTTTCTTATATTCTTCTCCTTTATTGTGCTGAAAAACTCTATTTACAATTCAAACTTTATAACCTAACAAAGAAAAAAAAAACAAGTAGATACTAAATTATCACATAATCATCAAAGCTAGACATTTTCACCCCTAAAATTGGTAATTATCTTTAATTATGACAAGAGTGTTTTGTCAATAGTTCTCCAATTAGTTAGCCAGCTTCTCCATCAAAGGACACTCATTTATTAAGTGCCTGCTGTATTCTCAGGAGTCTGCTTCCCTTGGCTACCAGTCTGTGTCCATGACCATTTTATTAGTGCTGGGCTGTACCTACTGGCCACACTGATAGGGGAGGGTTCGGCCACCTGGGGTAGGGACAGAGAGGCTGGGGACGTTGACGGGGAACTCCATGGGAGAGAAGTAGAAGGGACAAACATATAAAACAGGAGGAGTAATGACCCTCACAGTATTCAATAAAACCTGCAACTGAGTTCAGGGAGACTAGAATGAGACGCATTGAATGGATGCACTGCAGAATTGCCTGAAAGCTTTCACTTCACACCTTCCTTCTCACCATAGACAGAACGGCACCTGGATCCTCTGCCCCTGTCACTGAACATAACATGTCTCTCTGCGTGAGGGAGAAGTAGAGGAAATGACGATTAGTGCCCTGTGAACGTCCCATGAACTTTGTGACCATGCTTTGCATGCTCTGATCCAAAGTCCTGGGACTTCCAGGAGAACATGGTGGACAGATAGCAGCAGCTATGGAGGCCCTCTGAAAGACCCAGCTTAGAATCCAGGAATGGTGCGGAGTGAGGAATCCTAACAAAGAGGAGACATACCTTGCTGACCCAAGAACGAACTGGGCTGAGAGAAACCAACTGGGAATGCAATCCTTGTGCTATAACAGGAACAGATAAAGCCTCAGCGTGGAAGCTGGAGCCCGTGCCATTGGAAGCCATAGCAGCATCTGAATCGGCTCAGCAGGGAGAGAGACGCACGAAAGCTCTGAGAATGGGAATTGGTGAATGGAGTTGAGAGCGGGACAGGTGGGGAGCCGTGCATCGACCTGTGGTGAGTGAGGGAAACTGGGACTCTTCCACGGTCTAGGAGGCTCCAACAGAGGACATTCTGGGACCAGACAGACTTGCGGGAACAGGGCGCTGTAGTGACTTCAGTCACGCATCCCCCTCTCAAGTGGGATTGGTGAGCAGTGCCTAGCCTATGTGACACTGCTGGCTGAGACCCAGTAAGCTAGCACAACCCAGGTCCGAGTGCCTGGAGGTGCACCCTAGCGGTAAAGCCTTCAGTAGGTTGACCTGGAGGGGTGGACCCTGCATAGGCTGCCCGGTCGCTAACTCCCTGGTGCACTGCGGTGGGCGGGAACACCTAGCCGGCGCAATTCAAATAGACTGTGGCTGACAGGGAAGGAAGCTGGGCCTCCTATATATGCTTGTATATAAGGAACAAAGAATATGGGAAGAGGGAGCAACAAGAAAGGGTCCTCGGCCCCCAATCCTGAGAAACAGGCAATAGCAAACATGGCACCAATAGACATAAAGCGCTATCTCCAGAGCCTCATAGATGAGTTCAGGAATGCAGTTATTAATGACCTGAAGCAAGACATAAGCAGAATAGTTAGAGAAATGCTAAGCACCACCCAAGAAAAAACAGATGGTGGAAGAACAGAAAAAAAAGGGGAGAATTGTTTGATGGAGAAAATAGAGAAAACATAGAATACATGAAGCAGGTTCAAAGAGATTACCAGGAAACCAAAGTCCTGGACACGATAAGACACCGTGAGTTTACTGGAAGCCAGATCAGAACAACATGGCTGCATAAATCAAAGTGCTCTTTAACCCTCTGCCCCTGCCTACTCTTTAGTCTTAAAACTCATCACATCCTTTGGAATGTGGAACAACACTCGTATGGGAAAAGGTGGCCAGCACATCCTGGATCCGCTGATAATGTATTTGTATTCCTTCTCCAAGGGCTGCCCCATACGTGTGTAGTGTGTGCATGTTTGTTAAATACTCAAAATCAGTGATGAACAGCCCGTCACTATGTTACAACTGGCTGGTGGCTTATTTGTCACCTCTGTGTGCCCAGGGCCTGAGCAGGTACCATACCCGTCAGCAATCAATTCCATAAAAAGTGCCATGGAACGAAACAAATGGAACTCAGTGCCAGTTCTGTCACTAAACCACTAGTCAGGCCATTTCCTCTCTAGCGAATGATACTGCCCTGTCTGGGACTGACTGAGGAAGGGAGCGGCCTCAGAGTGACCCCACGGTGTGCTCTTTAAAGCTAGGTAACTAAGCCTCTCCAACTACGCTGATACCTTTAATTAGTTTTTAATTCATTCATATTTCCCTCTCCTTTAACTCACCAATTTTTAGCAGCAGTTTACAGATTTGATTTTTTTTTTTGCCCTTACCATATTTCCATTTCACAAATTCTAGTCAACCTGAATTCAAAGATTCAGGTTTAACTTAATATTCCTAGGCTGATTATTTACCACGGCTCCTCCTGTTTCATATTTTGTCCTCCACTTATTTTTTCCATTTTGTATAGATGTCTCACTGAAGTATCTCCATGAAAATGCGGAGTGGACAGCATTTTCTCTGAATCTTTGGTTATGAATCAGGTGTTCTTTTGTACTGAAAAACAGCATAGCATGATTGCTAAAACCATAATGGTCTTTGGAGCCAGACTGCCTGGGTTTAACATCTCTCACTCACTAATGGGCAACTTTGAGAAAAGTAATTTATTTCTGGCTCAAAATCCCTCACTTGTAATATGAGGGCATAAAAAGAGTAGCTGCTTCATCAGGTTCAAAAGGATGTATGTGCCTGTGAGCACGTGTGTGTGTGTGTGTGTGTGTGCATGTGTGAGAGTGTGTTTGTGCTTAATGACAACATTTCGAATAATGCCTGGAGCATAAAGTGACCTTACAGAAGCATTTGCTTATCCTTGATAAGAACTTGCTAACTTCTTTCAATACATTTATAAACACTTCTTTCCTAAGTTGGACACTTCCTGTTTTTTGTTCTATTATTTTTCTCTTACCCTTTTTCTTGTGTGTGTATTTTTGTTCCCCTTTTGAATCTCTTCTCAGTCATATTGATAGTATCTTTATTTTTTCATGTTTTTATTATACACTTCAAGAAAGTTCTTCAACTTTATCTTCAGCGTACTAATGTGGGCTTACAGTGTCTCTTCTAGTGTTCTGAAAGTTTTCAGATGAAGAATATTCTCAGTTCTGTAACTGCATACACTTGAGTGTCTCTATGTTTTGTTTTCAATTGCACCTGTCTTGCATTCTCTGGTGACCGTCCCTCTCCCTGTCTTTTCAGCTGGGTTTGTTTAAGTGGGATGTGACGTCTCTTTGTATTATTTGCTGTCCCTGCATTAACATTGTTTACAAAGCTGCACTGCCAGGGGACACTGGAAGTCCTTGTGGAAAAGACCATCACCACCCTCTCCAGGGAGCCAAGATGCCAAGATGCCAAGGGCTTTCTGCCCTAGTCATCCTGTGATAGCTGGCACCTTCCTTAAACATGAAGGACTCCACCTGCCCCTTGAGCCAGGCCCAAGGACCTCACAAATTTGACCCAGTGGGACCTGACTTCATCTTCGAAGTCACTGGGTCTGCAGGGGGCAGGTCCCTACGAATAACTCTTACTCCTTGTCCGAGATGAGATTTGGATAGAGATAAAAATATGCCAGTTTTACAAACATAACACAAAAATCATTTATTCAGCAAGCATAATTTATGACTTAGGATGGTTTAAATTGAAGACTTGAGGAAACGGAAATCAAGCTTTTTACTGAGTCATTGGTTTGTCAATTCTGCATGGTCCCAGTGCAGTGCCTGACATTAAATGCTTGTTAATATTTGTTTAACAAAGTGAAGACAACTTGCTCAGTGACTTCCCATGGCCCTTAGGAAAAGCTCAGATCCTCACTCTCCTTTAGAAGGCTCCATAGTCCTTGTCCTTGAGTTTCCTACAATACTGTAGGAACTTTTGCCTGTTTCCTAGGCTCAAGCCATTTCGATTCATTGCAGGATAGTGAGCGTGCCCTGTCCCCTCTCCTCCTGCACTCTCTGTTCCTAAAACTGCCCCAGCCACTCATGAGCACTTCCCATGCCTGGCTCATGTCCTGACCAGCTCTTCCTCGCTGTTGCATATCTTGGGTAAACATCGCATTTCAGAGACCACTGGCTTCTCAGAGAAAAGCAACTTCATCTCACGTTTCCGTGACCCATCCCTTCCCAAGCTGCTTCTTGGCACCGTTCATAAATATTATGAATGAAATGTATCATAACTGTAACATAAGTATTATCAATTTGGCTGTATCTGCTGCAGAGGGGCATAGGGGTGCAATTGTATTTGAAACCACAGAGTCTGCGGTTCAAACCACTCATCCTCCAGGGCCACGTCAATGGGCACTGGAGAAATAATGGAGAGGTGAAGACCGAGGGAGAACAGTGAGGAAAGAAAGAAAAGAAAGGCATGCTTTGCTCTCCAAGAAACTAACAATAGATCTATTCAAATTTACCTACCCAGAACTTTTAAATTTCATGATGAGGCTGTTAAGCATGTAGACATTTAGGCCGTGAGGGTTTGAAATTTAGCCCCGCTCTTTTAGCTATGGACAGGTCACACTATTTTTGTGATTTTCATTTTCTTCCTGGGTAAAATGGGGGAAATAGCAGCACTTATATCTGTTTATTACTTTTTAAGTTTTTCAATGTGGATTCAACATGGAAATGTAAACAGTGACCTTAGGACTAAGTATCTACCCTCAACTTATCAACGGTCAGGATTAATAATTTACCTGAGGATCAAAAAGAAAATAAGGACGGCCTTCCTTCAACTGAAGTGCAAAATACTCCTCCTGATCACCAGGCGATGCTGCAAAGAGGATCAAACCCTCCGATACCCGTGTTCGAAAGCTGGCTTTAAGGCCTGTTGAGACAAAAACAGCGAATCAGAGCTACTTTTTATTGATTTTTTCTAATAAACTTGCATTTCCTTCCATTGTTATTTATAACATAAAGAGCACAGTTGGGAAATTATACACAGCAATGGATTGGGGTGGCCCTAAGGATTTGCTTTCCAATGCAACTCATTTTAAATGCCAAGCATCACCTGCAAATTTGTGTGCCCTCCTGCTAATTGATATATAATGAAGTTAAGTTTAAATGTATGCAAAACTTATCAACCTAGAAAGACACATTGTCAACCCCAAATTGAGTATCGGTGTGAAAACACTATCAGCAAGTCATGAGAATGAGTGGTTTTTGACATAAGTTAGAGATATAATGGGGACCTTGTGTTAAATACTCGTGAGGTTCACAATTTTAGTGCTGTAACAAGATAAAACCGGGAAGACTTGCCATGCGTGGGCTGTGAGAGCTTGTTTCCTGCAACACCGTTCAAAAGCTTGTCAGACTTTGGGAATTCAGGGTCTTTACTGTATCCAGGCACCTGCACCAGCACTGCAGGCGACTTACAGTCTCTTGTTGCACAAGAATTTCCAGGTCAGAAGCAGGGGCCACTTGCGATGGTCCCACAAATGGCCTTCTCCCTGCTACCAAGGGAGCCCACCTGCAGTCCCCAAGTATCCCCGCACACCCCACAGAGCTCTGAACCAGCAACAAAATCTAAGGGAACAGTCTCAGATCTCCAAGAGTCTCCAGCTTCACTGGAAAGAGAACATGAACACATAAATCATACTGGGAGAATCAGTTAAGAGTCCAAACTCACACATGAAAAGCAAGTAACAGCTCAAGAACACAGGGTTCGATCATGAATGGTTCTGATCTGACTAGTTATTCAGTCAGTGAGGATAATGCGAGAGAGAAAGAGACAGAGACAAAGAGAGAGAAAGACGGAGACAGAGACAGAAAGAGAGAAATGGATGGTAGGGGTCATACGGGAGAAGGGACTGTGTGTGGCTTCAGTGGACGACAAATCCCTTAGAGTCTGAGCCCTCTCTCCCTCTGCCCCAGCATATCACACAGTGCTCAGATGCCAGCAGTCAATACCTGAGCCTTCAGATCAAGGGAAAGAGGTCAGAGGTCCACTTGAGGTGAGGGGGAAGTTTCGGCAAATGTTTGGAGGCAGGAATGTGAAATAAAAGTGTGAGGGTTATGTTTTCTAGTCTGTGAATTTCCTTTTGACTCAAGTGTGTTTCTTGCACATAGCATATTGTTGGGTTTTGTTTCTCTGGGGGGTTATTTTTCAGATAGGCATCTAGGGGAGATTAACACTGTCTAAAGACTTTGCTACACGTGAAGGAGGACGTTAATCAGTCCATGCCCAGTATTTTTTTTAAAATTTTATTTAAAAGGAAAAAGAGGAAAAAACAAAACAAAACAAAGTGGTGTAAGGGTACAAGTAATACAGAACTACAAAAAAAAAAAAAACCAGTAAGAAGTCACCAGTTAATAGATTACACATTATCATCTTAGAGATAGTTGCTCAAGTCACAGTATCAAAGTATACAAAGTGAACATTCAAACAGAGAGACTGCAAACAGTTGTGTTCAATGATCCAACCAAAAACATTAATATGCTCAGCTATTTAACACCCCTAAACACACTTGCAGTTGTATCCTTTAAAGCACTTTTTTTTCCCTCTCTTTTTTACACCAAAATTTACACATTTTGGGTTTTATTACTCCTTAGTTCTTATTACTTTTTTTTTTGGAAGAGAATGCTCAGTATTAAACTGTACTTTAGACAAAAGGCAAGAGTTAAAAAGCAAACTATAGTGAGATGTCATAACAGAGAGACATATGCAAGATATAGACCGAGTCAAAGGATAAAGGGAAACTAAACAGGAACATGCACAACAAGCTTAAAATGCAAGCTTGGCTTTCCCGAGATGCAACTCCAATTTGTCCAGGTCTTCTTAGCATCTCATCTTTGACTTCTAGATTTTGGTCTTTCAATGTACTTGTCTTCATCGTCCTCCATGTCATTTCTGCACATTCCTGTACTCTCCCACGCACCAGCCTGAGCGCTACCTTCTTGACTTAGTGCTGGTTCTTCTTGGCACCGCTTTCAGTCCATAGAAGAAACCCTGCTTGCCCCACCAATCGCTATGCTGCAGCCGAGCCCACCTGGATTCCCACAGCTAGCTTTATCTCTCTCATCTCTTCCGATAAGTAAACTAAGATGGTTGAGCCATCAGTATGAAATTTATCCTATCGGTAAGTAACAGGACGATGTGAAAACTCAGATGGAGGCCAGAAGCAGGATGCTCCAAGTCAGGATCAAGGCAACCAAGCCAACAGTGGGATACGTGGAAGATCATGGTGGACTACTGAGAGCACATATGTAATTTCTCCAGAGAGGAAGAAGTGAGGAAGTCACAGTGCTTTGGGGATGTGATGATACGGATTTTGATTAAAGAAGAACAAATAACTAAATAGACTCAAAGATAGATTCTATATTTCAGAAGAGACTCAAGACCTATGAGGTGACATGTGGGGCAATCTTTTCACCAGCTATTGAAACAAAGACAGGATTACTACTAGCAGGAAGGTCGACTAAGGAAGGAACTCCCGAAGTGAGGCTCTAAGATCAGTTTTGTGAGCACAGCAGGGTCAGTAATGATAGGGAACACTGTCACCTGGCAATGAGAAACTAAATCTTAGAAGAGAAGACGGGACTAGATAGATTAACAATTGCCTGCTATCATACACTTCTCAGAGAGAGAGAATACAGAGAAGGAAATCAGCCTTGTAGGGAGACAGGCAGAGTGTCTCTGAGTGTCTCCCTACAAGAAGAAAGAGAAGAGTTAGAGTAATAAAGACAATATTGCAGATCAGAAGCCTATATGGGAAAGAACATTACAAAATCAAGCTGAGGTCACTGCGTAAAGACTCCCCAGGTGGCCACACATGTTAGAATGAAGAGGAGCTTGTACTGGGGGCAATGACAGTGGCTCTCAGTGCAGGACACTTAGTTCTACGTGCTGGGGGATAAGGATGGAGAAACGGACCATCAGGAGGGAAGGGGTGGAGAGCACATGTTAGGAAAATCGGGTAGAGAAACACGACATAGACAAACTTCTTTGAGAGAAGTTTTTATTTTATACTTAGCATCATATGCTATTAACCCAGCTATTATTCAGGACACAAGGACAGCTGGCCGCTCCCAGTATGTTGGGAGGTGACTCAGTAAAGGGGAGAGAGAAGGAGCAGACTTTGGAGAAAGAGAAAGTAGCAGTAATTGGGCAGTCGGGGAACACATTTGGTCTTCTTAATTCTGGGGACAGCTGGGGAGTGACGCGGAATCAGAGTAAGAATGACGCGTTTTCAGCCAAGGTGCACTTCAAAGTGACGATTCTATGCTTTTCACGACATATTCAAGGGGATGTTTTCCAGAAATACAGTTAATTCCTGAGTTCTACAAATGAACAGTTAGCAAAAGTAATATGTGAAGCTACACAGGTCAGTGGATACTCCTGTGAGCAGGGAAGGCGCAGCACGGAGGAGGGCAGTTTGATTTGGTTTTGCTTGGTAGAATTTTCTCGGCTCTTTCAAGTAATTCAATCTGGCCATTTTTTCTTTACACTAATAAAACAAATAACAAATGACTCTTTTTTTTTATTTCCAGTTAAAAATATTTTAAAACAGTGGCAGAAATGAACATGTAAAGATCAACAGCTTGATGTCATAAGAGCTAATATTAAATAAAAGTTAAAAATATAGCCAACAAAGACTAAACAGCAAGGAGTCTGCAAAACTAGGGCCAAGAGGGATAATTATTACGTAAGCGATGCATGCAAACACACTGAAGGAGAACTCAATGACTAGTTTACAAATAAAGACTTGAATCTGGGGAACTGTGGCTGCTGGAGGTGAGCTCCAGCACACCAGCTCAGGCCTGGGAGAGTTTAAGATCATCCCTCCCAGCGGTTTAGGACCCACCCAGCTTCCAGCCACACTAGACTGGGCTCTGCGTGTTATGTGGGCCTAGCTGGGCCGCACCCAGTGATCTTCTTACAAATAAAGAATTGTTCAAGTTCACTACCAATCATTCAAACCTCAACCCTAATAAAAACAAAATGTAATGTGTTCAATAACAGGCTGGGAGATTTAAATAACAAACATTTATTTCTCAGATTTCTCAGTCTGTGCTTTGACACAGACTATATGAGAAAATTAAAATACACATGTCTACTGAAACATGTTCCTGACGGTTAATTATTCCTATAGGCATAGATAATACCTATCTTTTGAGCCACATGCTTCAATTATGTAAGTGATTTTTAAATGAACTACATATACAAATAAATGTGTTTAAATATACAATAATCTTTTCATGAATTACTTTAAGGAAAACTTTATTAAATGTCCCATAGGCCAGAACATTAAAGTACATAATTGCTGAGTATTATCAACATCCTTTTTTCCCAAAATGACATTATGTTTGTGGATCCCTGTGTCCTGATCCAGACTCAGGCATGTGACTTGCGGTGGCCAAAGGAAGGACAGGCAGTTACCCCAAGGGACAGCATGAGGACCTTGGTGTGGAGTCGTGGGGTTGTCCTTCATCTCCCCTGACTCCTGCCCCATCCCAAGAGTGGGTCCAGGAATAACAGGCCTGTCCACCTGGGCCACACAGGATCAAAGTATTCTGCATTTTCAGTTGGTTATGTCAAGCAGTGACGCTCACTAAAACAGGCAGAAGAGTGAAAAGCACACCTTTCTCATGTGTTAACATTCAGATTTTGATTTTTAAAAACAGAGAGAGGAAATGGTCTGAGTTCAACGTTTTATTCTCTGAGTTTACACAAACAGCAGAGCATTTCTTCTATCACTGTATTTATTCATTCACTCAAGACATGGTTAAGACAGTACGGCTTGTGCAGCCTCCATTGTAGACCAGCGGGACACGCAGAGGGATAAAACAGATGCGTGATCGTCGCCTAGCATCCAAAAATAGGATGAT